AGCGGGAGAGGGGCAGAGAGAGAGGGAGCCGCAGAATCTGAAGCAGGCTCTAGGCTCTGAGCTGTCAGGATAGAGCCCGACATGGGGCTCAAAGTCACGCCCGCAAGATCATAACCTGAGCCAAAGTAGGATGCTTCATGGACTGAACCACCCAGGCGTCCCTATTCTTATTCTTATTTCCATTAGACATCAAAGAAAAAAAAACAGAAATAAAAGAATCCACAACAAGGGGCTGGTATCCTGCAAACATTAAAAGAACAATAAAAAGATACTATGAACAAAGTGCCTGGGTGGCTCAGTCAGTTGAGTGCCAGACTCTTGATTTCAGCTCAGGCCATGATCTCTGGGCTCATGACATCAAGCCTTGCATCGGGCTGTGTGCTGACAGCACAGAGCCTACCTGTGATTCTCTCTTTCTCCCTCTCTCTTTCTGCCCCTCCCCTGCTCACGCTTGCACACATGCTTTCTCCCTCTCTCAAAATAAATAAATAAACATTAAAAAAGATACTATGAACAATTTTATTTATAAATAAAGTTTATTTACAATGCAGATTGCAGGACAGCAGGGTATGGTACGCATGCCAAATCTGGCCCACAAGCATAGGATGGTTTTTACACTTTTAACTGTTGAAGAAAAAAGTGAAAGGAGAATATTTTGTGGCATGTGAACATTGTATGAAATTCAATTTTCAGTGTCCATAAATAAAATTTTATTGGATTACAGCCATGTTCATTGGTTTACATATTGTCTACAGCTGTTTTCAACCTACAAAAGCAGAACTGAGTAGTTGCAACAGAGACCATATGGCCTACAAAAGCTTAAGTATTTCTATCTGGCCCTCTACAGAAAAAGTTTGCTGACCTCTAACTTAGACAAACTGGACAAATTACTTGGAAATCACAAGTTAACAAACCCAACATACATAGAAATAGAAAAGCTGGATGATATTGTATCTTTTAAATAAATCAAATTCATAATTAAAAACTTAACCACAAATAAAACTCCACACCCTGATGACTTCACTGGAGAATTCTTCCTAATTTTTAAGAAGGAAATAATACTAGGGTGCCTGGGCGGCTGAGTCGGTTAAGCATCCGACTCTTGGTTTTGGCTCAGGTCATAATCTAATGGTTAGTGCGTTCGAGCCCCATATTGGGCTCTGGACTGTTGGCGTGGAGGCTGCTTGGGATTCTTTCTCTGCCCCTCCCCCAGTTGCTCTCTCTCTCAAAATAAATAAATAAACTTAAAAAATTAAAAAGAAGGAAATAATACTAATTTTACCCAAACTCTTTCAAAGAATACTTCCCAACTTGTTAAATAAAGCCAACATAACTGTGATGCCAAAACATGATAAGCACAATACAAAAAAAACACAACCATGTCTCATGAACATAGGAGTAAAAATTCTCAACAAAATATTAATAAAAGACTGACTCGATGATGATGATGATGATGATGATGACAAGAATGGTTGGAGATTAACCATAGATAAAACAAGATTGGCCACTGGTTGATAATATTTGCAGCTGGGTGATAAGTACAAAGGGGTTCACAAAAATCAACTTTTGTGTATGTTCAAAACTGAAACTTTCCATAATAAAATATATAAAGTTTGGATTTATTGGAAATGTTTTATCAATACACTTTTTTAAAGTTACAGAAGATATAGTTTGTGTAGTAAAAAACACATGAAAATAATAAAATCACTCACACACATTTACATATATACATCTACACACATAGGGATTATATGTATAAAGAGTGGAAAGATCATCCCCAAACTACATAATACTAGTTATGCCAGGGAAGAAGGCAAAAATTAGATTTCAGACATATTTCCCTTTCTTCCTAAATTTTACTTTGCAATATTATGTACATTCTTTGCACCATGTATATACTACCCTTGCAAAGAAAGGATAAAAAGGCATAAAATGGAAGAGTAGAGAAGGAACTGGCCTTGAGTTGGGGCATGATCCCACAAACTATGAGATGACAGTGAAGGAGCCATGGAAAACCAGGCTCCAAGCCTCTGCCAGAAAATTTTAACTAAAAATAGCCTCTTTGAAACAACTATTGATGATACCACACTGTGCTGAAAACGGCTGGCCTTTAGGAAAACTCAACAATAACATTTCTTAAGCTAAAGTCTCAGAAATCTTGACTTGAGGAGATGGATTGATGAACTGCTTTATCTTGATGGGGAATGCAAATCATCTAAAGCATCCTGTTTGCCATTTTCACTGTGGTTGCCAGGAAGCTTGAAGATAAAATGTTTATCTCATTTTATATCAAATATGGCCAGATATCTTCACAGCAACTTCACCTGCCTCTTAATCTTCTATTCTGTCTAAATTTTTCTAATTCATGTGTTCAATGTATTGTCCTTTTTCATTTTATTGTGGGAAAACCAAGTGGGAAACAAACAACCTACCTGGGACTCCATCATTTTCTGTTTCTCTTTGGAAACCAATTGGGGGTGGGGTGGGGGTACAGAAGAGTCTTCAGAGACCAGGCTGTATTAATCACTCTTCAGTGGCTGAATATAAAATGCATTACTTGTTAATTCATTGGTAATTGTCTTTGTCATCTGACCAGCAATGCCACTTCTAGAACTTTTTCTTAAGGTAATAATCATGGATGTGTGCAGAGACTTAACTGAAGGAAATTTCATCACAGATTTGTCTTTAACACCATAATTTTGAAAATAATCAAAATGCCTAATCACTGAGGACTGAGAAAATAAGTTATGGAACCTCCAAGAGATGAAAAGGTGACCATTTAAAGTAACACTAGAGACAATTAAGAGGTTCACGAGATACAGAAACCAAATGTAAAGTATGGACCTTGTCTGGACCTTAATTTAAAAAGACAAAAAAATTTTTGAGATAATCATTAAATTTTGAGTCCTGACTAGATATTTGATGATATTAAGAAATTTAACCAATGATGATTGGAAGTTATTACTGTTATTTTATATTGAATATATAAAATTCAAGTATTGACCTTGAAGTCCTTATCTTTTGTATGAAATGATATATCTGGGCTTTGTTTCAAAATAATAACAACTATATATATAAAGATTAATTGAACTATACATTTAATATTTGTGCATTTTATGTTATCAATAACAAAAAACAATCTGGAAGAAAGAAATAAATGGGTGGTCTAGATTAGGGGTTGGCAAACTTTCCCTGTAAAGAGACAGACAGTAAATATTTCAGATTTGTGAAGCCTATGGTCTTTGTTGCAATTATTCAGTGATTGAAAGCAGCTATAGACAATGCATAAGCCAATTCTGTTTACTGGCTGTGTTCCAATAAAACATCACTTATGGACACTATAATTTGAATTTTATATCATTTTCATATGTCACAAAATATTCTTCTGATTCTTTTCCAAACATTAAAAAATGTGAAAACCATTCATAGTTTACAGCTGTATAAAAACAGCAGCAGGCCATATTTGGCCCACTGCCTAGAGTTTTCCATCCCCTGGTCTAGGTGAAACAACAGTGGCCATGAGTTGATGATTGATGATACTGGGTGATGTGCATAATGGGGTTTATTATATAATTCCCTATATTTTGCTGAATGTTTGAAAATTTCCATAGAAATATACTTAATAGTATATGGAAATAAAGTTAATAGCATGGAAATACACCTGCAAAATGAAGAAGAGGCCGACCACAAGATCACACTCCCAATTGTTTAATAACAACAAACATCTGTTCCCAAAGATATCACAGTGGTTTGTGGCCATCCAAAGTTCAACCCTACCTGACAAAATCTTATTTGTTGGTATCTAATTTCTTTCATTGGATTTTCTTGGGTATCACATGAGTAGAACTGACCTTGAATTCATGGAAGATCCATGAAATATATATAAGATCAGTGCTACAAAACCATAATGAATAGATAATAATTGGGTATTAACTCACTTAAATATCATCCCAAGCTTCAAAGGATAGACCCTGCTATTATCCTCATTTCACAGTGAAGAAACTGAGGCCTAAAGAGGTTTAGTGACTTATTCATGATCACACAGCCAGTGACTAGAGGGTGAAGTGGTGGGAAAACAAAAAGCAGAGAACTCCTCCTTAGCTGTCATGGCACCAAAGTTTTCAGAGATGCGACTCTGCTTCTGAATGCCCTAGAAATTAATTCTCCTCCTAAATTACAGAGGGCATTGTCTGGTTGTCAACTTGAGAATAACAAAACTCTAAATTTACATTGTGCTTTACAGCTCAAAGTTAACTTAAAACCTTAACATTCAAAGCCACAACACAGAAGAGAGAAGCCAAAAATCAATGAAATATTTGCAAAACACATATCACTGATAAAGGAGTAGTATCAGAATATATAAAAACAAGTTCCACAAATCAATAAGGAAAAGGCAGACATTCAATAGAAAAAGGAGCAAAAGATCTGAACAGAAAAGATCTGATCCTCTTACAAAAGAGGATCTAAGATATCAAAAATATATGAAAAAGCAGTCATCAGGGAAATACAAATTAAAGGCCCAATGTATGACTCCTCCATTGGAATGTTGATACCACAAGGGCAGGAATTTTTGTTTATTCTTGGATGTACTATCCATCTCAAAGAGCCACCCATCATGGACCTCACAGAATCTCAACATTGACCCTACACATTCTAATTCCTGTCTCCATGGACCCTCATCATTCACCCTAAAGACCACCCCATTGCTCACCCCAGATCCCCCATCATTCACCCAACAGACTCTCCATCACTTATCCCACAAACCCCTTTCACTCACTCCCTTGAAACCCTACCATTCACCCTACAGACACTTTTGCTCACTGCACAGACTCCCCTATCGCTTCCATAAACCCCTCATCGAATATCCCACACAGTCTTACAGACTCCCCTCCCTATCACTGTTTTCCACATCATTCAGTCCAAAGGACCCCCTCATTAGTCCTTCCACACGTCCCCATCACTGACCACACAGACCCGCATCACTTAACGGGGCCCCTCACCCTGGCTCTGCTCTCAGGACCCCAAAGCTCCTTCTCAAGACGAACTTGGCTCCCTGCTTGCACAAATGGGCTCAACATCCCCCGAAATTCCCTTTCCCCTCCAGCCCTCCTTGGTGGGTCTGGTTGACGCTTTAGCTTATCTTTCGCATGCCCAGAAACAGCCTCCAAGCCGAGCTCTACCAGTAACAAAAATGGCGTCATTCGGTCTGTGCCAGGAACAACGTCGCCGGCCAGGAAAACGGCCAGGGCCTCACACTGCCTCTTGAGGCTCCCATTCCAGCCAGAAGAGATACGCGTTTTGGAGTCCAGGAAGTCCTCGTGATATTTCCGAGGCAGGGTATTCGGAATTGGTGCTTCGAAAGCAGTGTGAGGCTCCAATGTGTAGCGACTGTTCCGGGCGGGTAAATGGGCGTTCCCGGCCATCGGCAGAGGCACTGCCAGAGCAAAGGCGTGGCGACCTGTGGGTAGGGGTGTTCGGAGGCAACCCGGTCCTGGGAGCGGGGCGGGAGGGAGTGCTAAGGCCGGAGGGTAGAAGCACCGCCTGGGAGATTGCTCTGCAGAAGCCTCATTTCTAAAACATCTGGAGAAAGTGAAGAGTCTTTTTACATAACGTATTCTCTCGTTAACACACCCGGCCCGCCTCTAGCAGCCTAGGGTTGTTGCCCTCCGGCCTTCCTATTGTTCCTTCGAAGGGGCAGGGCCCCCTCCCCTTGTGTCACTCAAGGCTCTGCCTCGCCGCGCTCCTAGTCTTCTATTGGCTCCTTCGAACACAGAAGGTCCTCCCTCTCTTGTCACTCACGGGCCAGACTTTCTGCCAGGGTCCCTTAAAGTGGGCAGATGTGGCCTTTTGTAGCCCAATATGAAAGCTAAAAGAGAGGGGGCACCTGGATAGCTCAGATCATTGAGCATCGGACTTCTGCTCAGGTCATGATCTCACAGGTTCGTGGGTTCCACAGCCCCGCTTTGGGCTCACTGCTGTCAGCACAGAACCCGCTTCAGAGGATCTCTCTCTCCTCCTCCTCCTCCTCCTCCTCCTCCTCCTCCTCC